AAGCCTGCAGATGGGCACTGGGAGGGGAAGGGGTTCTGGGTATCTGCCCCCCCCTCCCCCCCACCTGGGCTCTGGGCTGGGAAGGGGGGCAGAGAAACAGGAACTCAGTTGTCATAGGGGTTTCTTTAACTCTCCACTCCTTGGGAAATTTTTGTGTTTGCCTGTATTGTTACAGACATACCTGCTGACAGGTATTTTGAAATAAATTACCAAAATAATTGAAACCGGTATGATTATGTAGTGTTATTTTGACAAATTTTGCAGAATTTTAAAATATTGTGTACAGAATTTTTAATTTTTTGGCGCAGAATGACTCCAGGACTAAAAAGATTGACTAGTTCAGCTTCCTCTCAAAGGAAATTAGATTGGTTTGGCAACTTTTGTTCCTGATAAACCCACATTGGCTGCAACTTATCACCCTATTCTTCTCTGGGTGTTTGCAAACTGATTGATTAATAATTTGTTTCAGTATTTTTCCAGGTAGTGAAGTTAGACTGAGTGGTCTATAATTCCCTGGGTCCTCGTTGTTCCCCTTTTTAAAGATAGGTGCTATATGTTTGTCCTTCTCCAGTCCTCGGGACCTCATCTGTCCTCCATGAGTTCTTGAAGATAATCACTAATGGTTTTGAGATTGCTTTAGCTAGTTCCTTAGTACCCTAGAGTGAATTTCATTTGGCCCTGCCAACTTGCATACGTCTAACTTTTTATATAAATATTCTTTAACCTGTTCTTACCTTATTCTTATAATTTGTGTTCTTTCCATCTTGTTGTTGTTGTTAATTGTGTTAAGCATCTGGTCACAATTAACCTCTTTTGATAAGACTGAAGCAAAATAGGCATTAAACACCTCAGCCTTCTTGGTGTCATCCGTTATTTGTTCTCCTTCCCTGCTAAGTAGTGGACCTAGACTTTCCTTCATCTTTCTCTTGCTCCTAATGTATTCATAAAACCTCTTTTTATTGTCTTTTATGTCCCTTGCTAGGTGTAACTCAGTCTTTTCTGATTTTGTCCCTTCCCTACATGCTTGTGCTATTCTGATATTCAGTGTGACGCTGACAGCCCAGCAGATCAGAGCCATAGGCCAATTCACTTCTGTGTGAATATCAAAGAAATGTTAAGTAGTCTAGTATACATAGACCAATTCACTTGTGTTAATAGATATTGTTTTAACCTATCTATATTCTGTTGATTGCTATCATATTACATTATGTATATTCCTGTACTTAATTAACCCTAGATCAAAAGGTGTATTAGTATTAAGATGAGAATTTACTTGATGTGTAAACTTCATGAAAACTAACGGACTAATGTGTGCTGTTACATTACAATTTACATAGTATATATCCCGGTAATTACTTTTACCTATCAAACACAATTGGAACCTTGGAAATGTAAATGAAGAAGGCTGCTAACTTTAAAGCATGGGTCATTCTGTTGAACAATGGAAATCTGCAGGCTCAGTATGCATTTAGTCAACAAAGGAGAAGCCCATGCTGTGAATGAAAGCACTTCCCAGATTGCTTTTCATGGAAAGGAGCTATAAGAATGGATCCAGGGAATAATCCTGTATCTCTGAACTATTTGGACACTCACAGGGAAGTGTTCCAGATGCAAGACAGAGATCCCCAAAGTTATTTTGGGTAACCCTGAGAGACTTATAGACAACTAGCAGATTATCCCATCTCTGCTGTCATTTTGGACTTACAAACTTATTTTTTTTTAATTAATTAAATTATTTATTTAATTTAATCATTTACCTGGTAATGTATTTTACCTGCTTCTAACCTTTCAATAACTCATTTCTTTTTTTTAGCTAATAAATCTTTAGTTAGTTTACTAGAGAAATTGGCTGCCAGCGTTTTCTTTGGTTGGAGATTGAGAGTACCCATTGACCTAGGGTAAGTGACTGACCCTTTGGGGTTGGGAGTTGTCACTGTGCCTCAGCGGGTCACAACTGAGAATACCAAATTCAGGACAAACTGCTGAGAAATAGGGCAGACACACCCCAAAACTGGTGGTTATTCTCCCATAAGATATACCAGACCAGCAACAGAAGTAAACTTCTGTTTCACCACACTGGCTAACAAGAAGTCAGAAAAGCAGTCTCCCTAGGTATTCCAGTCCTTGTATCACCACCAAAGACATTAGACTTAATGATGAGTGGTTATTTAAAACCAGTTTCATCAACCAAAAGGTTCTTCTGATCCCAAAGGACCAGCCACATACCCAGGTCAATATATACAGTAATTCAGGTCTTATCTAATAATCATGCTGTTGCCAATCTTTAGTGTCTAAAGATTTATTTATAAAAAGAAAGAACGGTGAGAGTTAAAATTGGTTAAAGGAATCACACACACAAAAATTGCAAGGTTCTTGGATCAAACTTGTAGCAATGATGGAATAAACTGCTGGCTTGTTAACTCCCTGGTTGCTTCCAAATCATTGAAAGGTCCTCTAGTCCTTTTTATTAGAATGCTCCCATTAGTATAAGTTCATAGTCCAGAGGTTTGAGCAGGAAAGAGGCAAAATGGAGGTGCTTCCAGGGCTTTTTATAGCTTCTGCCATGTGGAGGGAAACCCATTGTTTCAAACAAAGCCCTCCACACAAGTTTGTGGAAAAATACAAGTAACAAAAGATGGAGTTTGGAGTCACATGAGCAAGTCACATGTCCATGCATGCTTTGCTGAGTCATAGCAGAGGGTGTGGTGTCAGGTGTGGATAGGTTTCTTCCATGGTTCATTGTGTTCGTTGATGAGCCATCAACTTGAATACTCCATTCACAATGTTCTGGCCAGACTGGATGCAAATTACCCTGTGGGTGCTACCACAGGAGCAGACACATTTGAAGTACAGGTACATAGTCAATATTCATAACTTCAGCTACAGAAATGATACATGTATACAAATAAAATTCCCCTTTATTTGGCATTGGTGAGGCCTCATCTGGAGTACTGTGTCCAGTTTTGGGCCCCACACTACAAGAAGGATGTGGAAAAATTGGAAAGAGTCCAGCAGAGGGCAACAAAAATGATTAGGGGGCTGGAGCATATGACTTATGAGGAGAGGCTGAGGGAACTGGGATTATTTAGACTGCAGAAGAGAAGAATTGAAGGGGGATTTGATAGCTGCTTTCAACTACCTGAAAGGGGGTTCCAAAGAGGATGGATCTAGACTGTTCTCAGTGGTACCAGATGACAGAACAAGGAGTAATGGTCTCAAGTTGCAGTGGGGGAGGTTTAGGTTGGATATTAGGAAAAACTTTTTCACTAGGAGAGTGGTAAAGCACTGGACTGGGTTACCTAGGGAGGTGGTGGAATCTCCTTCCTTAGAGGTTTTTAAGGTCAGACTTGACAAAGGCCTGGCTGGGATGATTTAGTTGGGGATTGGTCCTGCTTTGAGCAGGGGTTGAACTAGATGACCTCCTGAGGTCTCTTCCAACCCTAATATTCTATGAAATAGTGTAATCATATTCAGCAAATCAGAACTTTTCCAAAGACATCTTACATGACATACTTTGTACAAGATTTGCTGCAATTATATAACAGGGGTAGGAACAATGATCTATGTGGTCATATTTTAATCCTATAACATCACAGGAGTAACCTAATGTGATGTGATATTTGGCGTAACGACCAGTATCACAAAGTCCAATATCACAAAGTCCAATTGTCTGGATGGTAATATAAGCTGGAGCGTCTAAGGGGGCTATCCGTGACTCCATAGTAAGGCTAATATAGAGAGCCAGGAGTTCACATTTGTTACTGGCTTAGTGAAATCTAATTATAGAACATACCACCACTTTGGGGTGTCTGCCTTGTTTTCTGACAGTCTGATCTGAGAGTGGCACTCACAGTTGTGAGCCATTCCAGACAGCGTGACACTCATCTTTAGCAATTTGTTCCTTTTTGATTTTCAGGTCATTAAAGAGCTTCTGATGCAGCCATGTTTCCATATTATAATTCTTCACACCAGGATAGTCTGCTGTTGTGCCTTGAATACAGTCTCTTTGATAAACTGCCAGCTCTCCTGAACTTGTTTTTCTCTTACATTTTCTTCCTATGGAACTTGCCTACCAGTTCTCTGAGTTTGTTAAAGCTTCCTTTTTGAAGTTCGTTCTCCTTATTCAGCTGCTCTCACTCCTTTCTTTCCTTAGAATCATTACATCTATCATTTTGTGATTACTTCCCCCAAATTGCCTTCAGATTTGCAACTAATTCCTTCCTGTTAGAATCAAGTCTAAAATGACTGTCCCTCTTGTTACTTCCTCCCCCTTTTGAAACAAAAAGTTGTTCTCAACATATTCCAAGAACTCACTGGACATTTTGTGTTTTGCTGTATTGCTTTTCTGACAGATCTCTGTTAAGGTTAAAATCCCCCATTATTACAGGTGTTATGTTTATATTACAGGCATTTCTGTTATTCTAGAATTGCCTCATTCATCTCTCCTTCCTAGTTTGATGTTCTGTAGTAGACCCCTGTCATAATCATCCTTTTTTTTTTTCTTCCCCATTTTATCTTTATCAAGAGATTTCAACTGGTCTGCCTCTCACCTCCTTCTGAACCTGAGAACAAGTGTATACATTCTTCATGTATAGTGCAACACTTCCTCCAGCCTGTCCTTCCTGATCAACCTATGCTTCTCTCTACCAATTTTCCAGTCACAATATTTATCCCACCAAGTCTCTGTGATGCCAATTAGGCCATAAGTCAATCTAGTTTCTGTACTCATCTCCTGCATCTCCTTTCTAGCTTATTCCATTTCTAAATTCAAAGGTACAAATATTTCACTGATTTATATAAAATGTTATTGAGCCAGATAGCTACTCCATAGTTACAGTTTTAAATAGAATCAGTCTTATAGTAGAAAGCTAACCTCTACCCCCCCCATAATCAACATCACTCCATCTGAGTTCTCTCTCATGTGATGGTTGGTCAGAGCAGGTTAGGAGGAGTGTGTGTGTTGGTTTTTAATCTGATGGTAATTGGACAAAGTGGGAGACAGGAGTTTGAAATAGCAGAGGTATTTTCACTTTTGTAAAAAATTTTCCATTCTCTTTTGAACATCAAACATGGTCCGCAAACTCCAAATGTGGTTTGTTCTGGTGTCCTCAATGAGGCTGTGTGTGTGTGTGTGTGTGTTTTTGGTTTGTTTTTTTTTGTAATTTTAATAGTTTCTTTGGAACTAAGCTTAACTCCACCCCTTTTCCTTGAACAACATCTCCACTGACCTTCCATCTGTGGGCCATGAACACCGTTGTCCTGGTGAAAACTCTACACACTGGCCTTTAAACAGCAAACCTACCTACTAACTAGAGGCTGGACACCAAACCCTGCCTCGTCTTTATGGTGTGGGCCAGAGACGGCAACATCTTTCAGACTGCACAAGACTCTGCCCCCATCCACTACCCCTCTTTTGGTCCGAGTACATTCTAGGTACAAACTAGAGATCAAATGTTTCCACATCTATCCTGAGTACATAGCCGGACACTGCAAATAACTTACACATCTTCACAAAACAGGGCTGAGAACCTGATAGTCCTCCTCAAGACTTGATTTTTTCAGCGCTTTGCAACAGTGATCTCTGAAGTGCTTCCCTTCTGCTAGAATTACTTCTCTCTAGAAAACAGGAATGGATTTTAACCTGAATTTCAGTGCCAATGATGTTCTCCTTTTGATGCCTTGCTCCCATTTATTGATTGGGGACTCCCAAATTCAGAAGTATCAACTTTGGTCTGTTTGGGTTTTTTTTCAGGAGTGAAGCCCCATCAGTGCCAAATTTGTGGGAAGACATTTTCCCAGAGTGGTAGCCGGAATGTGCATATGAGAAAGCACCACTCCAGAATTGGAGCTGCTGGAAGCAGAGAACGAGAGCAACCAGGTGAGAGAAAGGCATCCTCCCTGGGATGGGGGTGTGAGGAGGGTGCTCTGACACATGGGTGAGCAAGTGGGTATATAGGGGAGGAGGAGGAGGTGGTGAGAGAGTGTTCTTACAGGAAGTGATAGGAGAGGACAGGCCGGGGGGGGCAGGCAGGTTGTCCCTCCCTAAGGAGGTTAGGGTAGGATGGAGAAGGGAATTCTTGTTTGGATGGGAGGAAGCCCTTCTTGGGAAAGGAGTAGGTAAGAAAGGTTGAGGGTAAAGGATAGAAGGGCATCTCTGTGTGACAGCCAAGGGGCAGGTGGGCCCTTGCTTTGAAAAAATCTGATCTCTTTTGAAGTGAAGTTTATGCCCTTCATACATACCTTTCCTCTGTTTTAGGGGGCAGAACCTATTCTTCCTATATAAGTAATTCACCTAACATATCCAGCTCTGCCTGTTTGTATTGCAGGTGTTCTAAGGGCTTAACATTTTAAAACTCTGGGAGTTCCCACCTGGTGGTGTGTTGGAAGCACAGACCCAAGAGTGGGAATTCATAGAAGTGGGGTATCTTTGGAAAATAGACATTTTCACTGGGTCTGTGAGAGACAGAGTAGTCCCTTCCTCTGAGAGTGGTGGGTGGGCAGCAAGGGCAGAGTCTAGATAGTTCACAGCACGTTGTTTATTAACAGAGTCGCTGCTGGGCAGCAGTTTGCTGGAGGAAGCAGCTGTGCATAGTAAGAATCTGATCTCCATGAACTCTCAGCCTCGACTTGGCGTGGAGTCTCTGCACCTGCCAGATACTGAGTCTATTATTGGAGTAGAGGAGGGTGAGACCAGCTGCTCTTTTTTCCGCCCCCTTATATGTGGTGACTGAAGGAGGGTCATTCCTCGTCTCACTATGATGCAGAGGGATGATTGAGTGTTGCTTTTACTGTGCACGTAGTGGGATGAGTAGATGGAGAATGAAGTCTAAAGCTGGAGATGGAAAAGAGATGAATTTTTTTAGCCCATGTCCTGGGAAGGCATTGCAATACTGTTCCTGCTGCGCATTCTCTTAAAACCTAAGATGTTTTAAAAGTTTCAAGCAACAGGCCTTCCATCCTTTACCTTGAGAGACTAAGCTAATACATCTCACTATTAGGGCTGACTCTTAATAGCCTAAATAAATGTACTACTTAATATAATTAAATTATACCCACTGTGTTCTCTTCATCCTCCTAACTTAGTCATTTTGTTGAAGGCCGCAATCAAGTTTGTTTCGTGTGTCAAGTTCTTTAAATGGTTCTGGTATCTTTTGGATGTTCAGACTTTTTCTGAGCTAAAATATTCCCCATCTGGATTAGCTCTAGTATAAGTGTGCATAGCATAGTATAGATAGATAGATAGATAGATATATTGGCTCTTGCGTGAAGAGCTCAGAGTTCTTTGATGCACTTAAATTAATAATCCCCAATTAAATATGTCTGTTTGCAAATTGCAATCTAAATGTGTGGTGCCACTGTATGTAAATGTGTTGTGATTCACAGAGGTTCTTGCTGAAGCAACACCAGGAGCCCTCCAGTCAGCACCTGATGTGGTTTTGCCACAGTCTCATCACCTGGTCACCATGTCAACAGGGAGACACTCCTATGGGGTGTCTGCTTTACTACAGTAAATCTACAGGTCAGTTGAGCAGGCCCTTTATTCCTTCTTTAAAGTTTGGAAAAAAAAAAAAAAGCTGCTGCTAAATTTCAGAATAAAAATGTATTTTCACATTGCTGTTTCTAAGATATTTGTAGACCAAAAAAAAGACCCCTTTCTGGCCTTGGAACACAGCTTGTTTTGTTAGGATGATCAGAGATGGTTTTTAAGTTACTTATTTTGTTGTTTTTACTGTCAAGCATAAATTGAATTCATGGTTACAATGCCAAGATGTGGGTAAATTCGTAGTACACTATATAATATTTAAAACTCAGCTCTTTATTTTAGCAGTACCATTTTCTCCCTTCTCTCCCCTCCCTACCTCCCCCTTTGTAAGGAGTAGTTTAAACTAAAAGGAGAATCTATGTTTGGAAATCTCTTTAAATGGCATCAACTGTTCTTCTTAGAACTGAATCAAAGTTCTTACATTGTTTAAAAGTCCAATCATGTTTGTCTTTAGGACAAGCCAAAACATACACAAAGGCAGAGAGAGTAAAAATAGCAAAAGTGGGGGTGTCTGACTTGCAGTTCATTTGCTGGAAGATCACTAGCACAGTACAGGACCCAACTGCCAAGGTCCTGGGATTTACCAAGACAGGCTGCTCAGGAATTGCATTTAGCTTCCCAACCAGATCTCGCCAAAATATTGCAATGTTAAATCTATTCTGGTTGGTTAAACTGAACTATTATTACATAGAAGGCAACAAGAGAAAGATATAAAATAGATAGGAGCAAACTTACATGCCAGATATAGCTGGAACCTTAGCAGCTGCTCAGGACATAGCCATGGGGATAATGATGTCGTCTGGGTGGAATAGCTTTCGAATTCAGTCAAATTATCCTATGTTATTAAGTGTTCCCCAGAACTGCCTAAAAGGAGTGTAGCAATCTTGTCCAAACAAAACAAGTTTTGATAGTTCACATAGAGACATTTCCATCCCTTTTAAGATTTTTTTTTTTTTTTATGGGAGGTTGCTGTAAAAACTCTGAAAACTGGCCGACAGACAGAGAGAGACTCTTATCAGCAATTTCATTCAGTTCAAACAAGCTCACTTTGTGCCACTTTTTTTACTCCAATCTGGGCTTTCTTTCAGTTGCAATTTTATTTAATAGGTTTATAGATTAAGTTGGATCCTCCTGCCATTCTTTCTCCTCCCTCTCTTCCTTCCAGACACTTACAAATTTTAATTCAGAGTGGAGTTCAACATAAGTTTCCAGATGGGTGCCCAGGAAAATGCGTTTTCTGAGAGCTGGGAGGCAGATGCTGGTGACCTGGTCCTGGGAGCAGGGATGCCTCCTTTGGCTGAATGTTGTGGCAAGCTGTTTAGAACAGGTTGGGTGTTTGTGGGTAGCAGGACAGTTGTGGGTGATTCTGAAGAATGTAGTAAACAAGTTATGTGTGCAGTATACAGAGGATGTATGGGTTCTATGTGCAGTATACAGATAATGTTCTGTATGCAGATAAATGTTAATCTGAATTGAGTGTGTGTTGACTTTACAGTTACAAAAGGAAGAAGAAACCAATGATCTAGTAAGAGAAGACACAGGATGTAAAGTTAAAGAACAGACTTCTGCGTGCAGATCTCTTAAAGGAGAGATGCAGGACCTGAATCCAGAGTACATGCTGTGCAGGCAGCTTACTTTTCATGACTTGCTGCAACAAAAACTAAACTGTAGTCCAGAATGGGATATGAGATGTAGAACATGAGGGTTACTGAAGCAGATTCCTGAAGCTAAATTCAGGAGCCACTAATCATGTTGGACTGACAAGTGGGACTTTCTAAACCTGCCGTCGGGAGGGATGCAGCACTTCCACCACTGCAACGTCAAACCACTTTCACCTGAAGCTGAAGTTTGTTCACAAGCTCCAGCACGTACAAGGCATTAGTATTGCTTAAGCAACTAATAGGGGCTTTTCTTAGAGGAGAATATTTAGGGTGTTGTGGATTCTAAACCAGAGCATTGCAGTCCATTCTTCTTTCTGAGTTTTGAAGGTTTATTTCCAGGGTGACCCTAACTAGAATCTGAGGCTCTTCATTGAGGAGCAGGAGCTTCTCCACCACTCTTCCTTTATGAAAATATGTTCCAGAGAGTTCCACCTTGCCCCAGAGTCTGAGGCCAGACACAAGTTAGAGGATTACCTCAGAGCCAGCTCTGCTGCTTGCTTTGCCCCATATTTCTTCATTTCTAAAATGCTTATTAGTATGTTTAGTTTTTTTTATTTAAAAATCAGAGGTAGAAGATTTTAAGTGTTTACTGTATTGTAAATAAACAGCCTGTTTCGCTCTTTGGCTTCTGATTTGGTTTGGCAGAAAGTGTTTTTATTTAAATTCTGTAAATGTAATACACCTCTACCCTGATGTAACGCGACCCGATATAAGACTAATTCGGATATAACGTGGTAAAGCAGTGCTCCAGGGGGGTCTGCACACTCCGGTGGATCAAAGCAAGTTTGATATAACGCGGTTTCACCTATAATGTGGTAAGATGTTTTTGGCTCCCGAGGACAGTGTTATATCGGGGTAGAGATGTAATTTGTATATCTTTCTCCCAAAGTGTGGCATAGACAGTATTTGCAGGGGTCACAGTTGAAAACATGCTAGGTAGCAGCCGGGGTGAGCACAGAGGAAGTGGTGCTCTAATCATGTTCCATCAATCCAATTAATTGTGGATCTTTCTGCTGTAATGGTCTGTGGTGAAACAGTTAGCTGTGTGGACATTTAAATAATCGTTATTAGACTTCTGAGTTAGCACCCCATTGAGATAAAGGCAGCAGTTTGCATCTTTAGGACGATATGCTACTTCCTGCCACCCTACAGGTACACATCTACAAGCCTGAGTATAAATGGGCTTTACACAGAAAATGATTTGGGGTGGGGGAGGAATTCTGTTCTCCCCATCCCATCCAACCTAGTGGCATGGCACACACTGACAACACAGTCCATTCACTGCTACTACTTATGGGTAACAGGAGAGGCCTCTGAGGCCAAATCCTGTCCCATAGAAGGGTCAATGTAGTGCCCTGGCCACCAGACTGCTCACATCCTGAAACCTCTCTGCACAGAGTACCCCTGCCTAATGGAACAACAGTGGCTCTTTTGCAGGTAGGGACTTTTGCTATAGTGAAGGGACCATATGTGATTCTCAGAGATACATTCTCTCTGTCTGCAGACTCAGGACTTGCATTGGTTCCACATTTAGAAGGTGCTTCAATCAGAAAGGCTAGAAAACTTAATTTTTTTTTAAATGAAAACTTAGATTCTATTGAGACTCAGCCAATGAGAAGGACTGCTGCAGCACTGGTGTGTGTCAACTCAAAGTTGGGGCGCTGGCTTAGCTGGTGGAAAGGAAAGTGGCAACTCCTGCGCCTACCTTATTTTTTTCCAACTTAAAGGGCATGAAGAGAGAACAGCGTGAGGACAGGGTGGCAAAAAGAAACAGACATCTTGCAAAAAAATTAAAAGACATTTTAAAATCTTTTAATCTCAAAGCACTTTGACATAATGCACATTTTCAGAAAATATTCTAATTGTCAATGAGACTTACCCCTAAAAAAACAGACCCCCACTGTTATCTGAAGGAAGATCTCTATTAGCTGTCAGTTATAGAAATACCCTTTATATCATTTAAGATGCAAGCAGTGGAGTGGACATACTCGTATATAGTGCCTGGTCCCACTGAAATCCATGTAGAAAAAAATCACAGTAATATTAATGGGGGCAGGCTTGGTCCCCTAACAGCCACTGATATCAATAGGAGTAGAACGGGTCCCCAAACCATCCACAACAAAAAAGCAAACTAGGGAAATGTGTGCTAGATGAAATTACTGTAAGGTGGGTGCAAAACTGGTTGAAAGACTGTACTCAGAGTAGTAATTAATGGTTGACTGTGAAACAGGGGAGTTTGGTAGGGGGTCTATTCTGGGTCTGATAAAATTCAATGTTTTCATTAATGACTTGCATCATGGAGTGGAGAATATGCTTATAAAAATTTGCAAATGACACTAAGTTGAGAGGGGTGCAAACACTTTGCAGGACAATTAGAATTCAAAACAACTGTGACAAATTGGAGAATTAGTCTGAAATCAACACAATAACATTCAGTAAAGACAAGTGAAGAGTACTATACTTAGGGGTGCATCTAATTTTTTCTTCCTACAAAAGGGGGAATAACTGCTAGGTGGTAGTACTGCTGAAAAGAATTGGGGCAGGGGAGGGTAGAGTGGCTCACAAAGTGAATATAAGCCAACAATGTGATGCAGTTACAAAAAAGGGCTAATATCAGTCTGGGTTGCATTAACTGCAATGTCGTATGTAAGAAGTGGGAGGTAACTGTCCTGCTCTATTTGACAGTTCTGGGTGGCACGCTTTAAGAAAGATGTGGACAAATTCGAAAGTCCCAAGAAGAGCAACAAAAATGATAAAAGGTTTAGAAAACCTGATTTATGAGGAAAGATTTAAAAAATTGATGTACACTTCTACCTCAATATAACGCTGTCCTCGGGAGCCAAAAAATCTTACCACATTATAGGTGAAACTGTGTTATATTGAAGTTGCTTTGATCCACCGGACTGTGCAGCCCCGCCTCCCCAGAGCACTCTTTACCACATTATATCTGAATTCTTGTTATATCGGGTCGTGTTATATCGAGGTAGCGGTGTATTTAGTTTTGAAAAAAGACGACTTGATACTAGTGTTAAAATATGGGGGGACCTGACAATGTTTAAAATGTTAAAGGCTGTGATGAAGAGGATACTGATCAATTGTTCATGTTCTGGGAAAGTAGGACAAGAAGTAATCAGCAAGGGAAATTTATGTTAAATATTGGGAAAAACTTTCTAATTATAAGGATAGTTAAGCACTAGAATAGGCCTCCAAGGTAGGTGATGGAATCCCTGCCATTGGAGGTTTTTAAGAACAGGTTAGAAAACATCTGTCAGGAATAGTCTAGGTATACTTGGCCCTGTCTCAGCACAAGGAGTTGGATTAGAAGAGCTCTCAAGTTCCTTTCCAACCCTACATTTCTATGAACTTTGCTTAATTACAGCATATAGGCAGGATGAGACTTTAGGGAACTTTAAGGGGTTTTAACAAACTGATTTTGAGCTAGGAGAGAACAAGATTGGACAGGAGTCCAAACTTCAGATTAGGATAGCTTTTTAATTACAGGGAGCTCAAAATGTGATGAATTGCCTCAAACCTTGCACCGACACCCTTCATAGTAAATCATACCACTTTCAGGCCAAACCCATGATGTGAGCCAAAGTTACAAGGGGCTAAAATAGAGCTTTATAATGGAAAGTGGTTGCAACTTTTATGGCAAGACTGTGCCTCCAGAATAATAGGAGAGGAGCAGAGCTGCTGTTGAGCTGGTACAGAGGCAAGATGCTAGAGAAGAGCTTCTTTTCCAGTCTTCTCCCCAGGGGAATTCAAATCCATAAACCTATTATTCTGTACAAATATCTTACTTAAAATCCACTTCAACATACATATTCAATATGAAACAGCAACAGAAATCACATCAAAAAGACAGTTTCAGAGCAGAATTTTAAAATCTACTCAATTTGCCCTTTCCATTCAGAATCTTTTGAGTACAAAGGAAGTGAACGCAAGTGTACATGTCATCCACCTTCAGGTCTACCTCTCCTTTTCAGCAATAGTGCCCCAACCCATCACCCTCCTCTCTCCCTGCTTCAAGCAGTCTCACTGTTAGTCTGGTTTTCAGGTTTCGAACCAAGGGACAGGGAAATGAATCAGTTGGGGAACACTTTTGAGGGATTTAGGAGGGGACTATGGGGAGAGGCAAGAGTCAATCCTAACCTTCTCACTCCTGTGTGTAGTCTTCCTATGTCATTCAAACCACAGCAACTTTCTCTTAAGTCAGTCACTTGGAAATACCGTAGAATCTGAGTTACAAACTGCCCCACTATAAACCTTATCTGGAACCGGAAGTACAAAATCAGGCAGCAGCAGAGCCCGGTGGGGGGAGTGGGGGGGGGGGAGGAGAGGGGAAGCAAATACAGTAGAGTGCTGTGTTTAAAAGCAAACTACTAAAAATAAAAAGAAACCAGCATTTTTCTTCTGCATAGTAAAGTTTCAAAGCTGTATTAAGTCAATGTTCAGTTGTAAACTTTTGAAAGAACAACCATAATGTTTTGTTCAGTTACGAACATTTCAGAGTTACAAATAACCTCCATTCCTGAGGTGTTCATAACTCTGAGGTTCTACTGTCGAAACTCTAGAACAGCGGTTCCCAAACTATGGGTTGTGCCCCCAAGTGGGATTGTGCCATCGGCAGATGGGACTGCAGTCGTGCCATCAGTGGATGCGTTTACAGTGCTCCTGTGTGTGTGGAGGATGCCATTTTGCTCCACACAACGTGACCTTGCATGTACAGTGTGTGTGAGATCATGCTGTGTGGCAGACACCATGCTGCTCTACAAAATGGCATCCTCCAAGCTGTCAGGTCACAGGAAGCAGTAAGTCTGCAGGTAAAAAGTTTGGAACTGCTGCTCTCAAGAATCTTGGACTAAAGGAAATAATTGAAAGAAGGTCCACTGAGTCTTGTGCAGGGTTCTTATGTTGTCATTTTCTTTGTTCTCTGCTCTTCCTAAGATTCTTCTTCCTGTACAGTGCCAATGTCTGTGTCCCTCTGAGACTCCTGAGCTCTGTAGAAACAGTCAGAACCTTTTGTTAAGTATTGGAAATGATCTGAGCTACTTTATTCTATGCATGAGAAGCAGAAGTCTGGTCATACAGGTCATAAGCACAAAAAGCAATAGGGGAGCCTTATTACTTGAAATAGGCATAACTGAGTTATACTTTTCATCTGTGATGGCACAGATTAGAATTCTTTGGGAACAAGGAGGAAGAATGTTTCTGTCTAGCCAAAGACAGGAGAGTTGGTTCTATATCTTTACTGCTTTCATTACCTGTGAGTTTCAGACTCTTCCTCCTTTGGTAGGTCAGTAGCATCTCTCCCTTTGTTCCTTACAAATTCCTCATTCAGCCCCACCTGACAAAGGGTGTCTCGGTAGTGTCGCTCTGCCTCTTGCCGGGCATCATGCTATGGAATTGAAACAGAAAAATGAACCAACCAGAACTGGGTCCTTCCCCATAATGGACACCCTAAAATAATTCTATCTAGAGGGTTTCAGTTCCTAGCAGCTATACAGTGGCTGTGATAATAGAGAGAGCTCTGTTCAGAATCACAACTGTGAGCCACCGCTTTCCACACTCCTGTTCCTTGCCCCTCTCACACTCCCTGCTGACAGCAGTCCCGTCCTAGTACACCAACAGATGTACCCCAATCCTGATTCAGCTACACCCTTCTTTCTATGTGCTGGTTCCCAGTTTGAGGGAGAAGTTGAGAACCAGGTAATTTCAGTCCCAGGGGAATACGGTGGGACTGGTGTAGGAATTAGATCCACTTTGGAGTCTCACCCAGCCCACTTGCAAGCGGCCAGAAGTCATACCCCCACACTAGTCCAACACCCTTCATTGACTCCAACTAAACTCTGCAAATTTGCCTATTCCAAGATGTCATCCATTCAGAAATTAGACAGTTCTAAAGGTTAAACCAAACTATTGGTGTGGATGGCCTCCTTCTCTTTAGGTAAATGAATGCCACACAATCTTGGCTAATTCTTTCTAACCTGACAAATAGGAGATTGACCTCAATGGAGTTACTGCATAAAGATGCCTATGTCTTTCTCTTCCCACCCAGATCAATTGCTCAGCTGAACAGTTTTATTATGAGCCAGGAAGACAGCTCTTTTAAGAGGCTTAATTTAGTGTGCAGCTGGCTTGTCCCTACATATAATCAGACTATTCCACAGCTCAGCGCTGATGTGTAGAATTTGAAAGAGGAAACCCAGGAGGAAGTTTTTTACATGGTACAAGGTTTGCAGCCACAGTAAAAGTTTGGTTTTTGAGCTGTTTATTTTTAATATAGTATAAGATATGTAGAGGATATTGTACAGTGATGAGATGTACTGAATAAATAGTCCCTGCCCAACAAGCTTGCAGTTGATTGGAGGGACTACATTGTTTGTTTCTTTCTAGGACCTTTCAAAACAAAAGTACAGAACAAACACCAAATTGAGTATGGTCTTCAAATGGTTGTAGACTGTAGAATTTTACATTGTAAACTATGTTATTCAGGGCAGGGACAGTGAGTTCATATAAAAAGAACAGGAGTACTTGTGGCACCTTAGAGACTAACAAATTTATTAGCGCATAAGCTTTCGTGGACTACAGCCCACTTCTTCGGATGCATACAGAGTGGAATAAATATTGAGGAGATATATATACACACATACAGAGAGCATAAACAGGTGGGAGTTGTCTTACCAACTCTGAGAGGCCAATTAAGTAGGAGAAAAAAAAACTTTTAGAAGTGACAGTAGTGTCTCTACTGGGCTATCTTGATTATCACTTCAAAAGTTTTTTTTTTCTCCTACTTAATTGGCCTCTCAGAGTTGGTAAGACAACTCCCACCTGTTTATGCTCTCTGTATGTGTGTATATATATCTCCTCAATATTTATTCCACTCTGTATGCA